ACTGCAAGCAGGACGAATACATCCTTAGAACTACATGAAAAGTGCACAATAGAAGTGAAAAGAGCAAGGGAAAGGAAAAAAGAATTTTAAATAAAAAGGCACAGCATACATAATACTTTGCTGTTAACTCAGCAGGTTGTGGAAATGACAACACTGGTTGAAGATCAGAGCTGGCACCACCCTCCTCACTCATGAGGAATGAACAACGGAGGCAGCTGCAAGGGTGAAGTTAGGCTGGAGGCAGGAGAGCCAGAATAGATGTGTGGAAAGTTGTGGGCATAGATTCTACTGAATCATTGTGGTTTGCTTTTTCTCTCTTAAACAGAAACCCTCAAGCTGGATCTCTGCACATGCTTAATGTGACCATTGACATTTTCATGGCAAGTTGGACCATGATCCCCAGTTACAGTGTGTTACAATGTGAAGCTACTCTTCCCACATGCCGGTTGATGATTTTTCTGATGAGTCTTTATTGTTGCCATTCTGAGTTTGCCTGCCAATAGAATGGCCCTGTATTTCATGCTTAGCAACACAGCTGTTCTGGGCAGCTCTTCTTCTGCCCCTTGACACCACGATATACATTTATTATGGAAAACATGCAAATGTAATCTCTCCATTAAATGTATTTGATTACCTTTGGTAGTCAGTGTGACTGAAAAAAAATATTTTATGACACGGAGAGGCAAGGATGAGGCTGAATGAGATTCCCCTTGAGGAGATATGATGTATTACAGGCAGTTAGAAATACTACAAACTAAGTGGAAGTCAAAGTAAGGAAGGGAGAAGCCGTTTTGAGTCTCGTCAACGAAGAACGTCTTTGCACCGATGTGCTGATGACGAACAGCATTTTCCATCTACTGAACAACGAGCGAACTTCGGGGTAAGTCTGAATTTGCTCGTATTCAAATCCACCTATGTAATCCGATCCGTGTTGGTTTTCCCACTGCCTTGTTTTCATTCCCAGGCGCTCATTCCTGACAGCTATCGTAGCGATGGACAATCAAGAAAAGCTGAACGCACCTGGGACAGTTCCCAAGAAAAACTTCCCTGAAGATCTGGTAAGAGATCATTTGTGAGTTTATATACGAAAGTCATCATAGACATTTGGAAAGTTTGGAGAGAATTTAAAGGCATTAGCAGCCTATGTTAGGCTGTTTGAAATAAGGCTATGGAATGTGCAGTAAAACAACAACGGATGTTATATTGAAGAGAGATTATTTCATTGACAACAAAAACAGTACATGAATCCTGGCTCAGACTCATGATATCCATTGATTTTGCTAATAACTATTAATTACAATGATCATGTATCATCTATCTATATCTATCTATATTTCCTCTTGCTTACAGTTAAATTATGCAGTCATACAACTGCTATCAAAAAGCAATCATTTATATCTGAATAAAGGGAATGTTTACAATACTAAACAAAAAAATTTTGTACAATAGTTTCCAAATTCTATTCAACGCTCCCTTGATTTCACAATGCTGACTCAGCGATCTAATGACTTCAAACCATTGGCTCATATTATCAAATGGGTTACTTTCCTTCTATCGGCCCATTTTCAGAATGAAAGCTAAAGTAAACTGTAACCATAACAAATTCCGCGCGTGATAATATTATTCACCTGATGGCTCACACAGGCAGCTTTCATGAAATATTGTGCTAAGATTGTGTCTGCAGAAAACAGGAATTTTTACCATAGCCCACTATCTCTGAAGATCTCAAAATAAGCGAACCACTGACTGGGCGATTTTATTGCCGATTTTAAAAGAAGGTGCATACAATTAACTTCAAACACTCCAGAGCACTCCAGCAACAAATGATAATTGCAAACTGTAAACTATATACTGGGACATTAGTTCGAATCTCCTGATCCAGAGAGAAAAGTAACAACGTATAACAGATGCCTGGTTCCTCCTTCAACTTACACATCAAGCAAATCTTAAGTAACTTTGGCAATTTAATTTTTTAGATGAAAAAACAGCTAACGCTAAATGTGCATACAGGCTCTGATTATGTTCTAATCAATGGGTCATCTGTGTGTCTTTTTAAAGCAAGTTCAAATGCAAATAATCACAGAAAATGAACTTTGTGGGGTTTGAGACGAGTCAATCGGAAATCAGTTGCTTGGAGATGAAAAGTTATGGAAATGATTCCCAGATTAATTTGCATATAACAATTTGCACAACACAAAATTATGGAAATAGTACAGAGAATCCAGAAAGCAGGGGCTCTGTACAGTGACTTCAGGAGTGTTTCCTGGCAGTAACAGGCAGACATAGTAAACGGTACCATACAAATTCCTTATAATGGAAACAAAACTTGGTTATCTGTGACTCAAACTGTATTTTATTGTAGGGAATATAAAAACAAATCATTATTTCAAGCAATACAGAAATATTTACCACAGCTGTTATTTGGTGTCTGCTTTTATGCTTATAAAAACTTGGGGAAAGTATTTTTTTTTATCTGAATAATTCATACCTGGCTATTGATATGTAAACACCAGTTAATAGAGATTTTTCTCAGGTATGTCTGGCTGAAGGACAATAGCCACAGCTAATGCCTGTAACGAACAGTTCTTTCCGGACCCTATGCGGACGACACAATCCAAAAAAGTGGGGAAACACTAGGGAAACGTCATGCAGGAATACGGGGCTGAAGACAGGGGGGCGTGTCCAAGGTGCGCTGGTGCACGGGGGAGGTGTGGCCGAGGCGAACAATCCAAAAGAGTAATCCTTAGAGAGTATCCAAAACAAATAGGTAAGTCCAAAACCAGGAGATCCATTAAAACAAGGAATTAAAACCAGAGGCCGGGTCGGAACCGGCGGACAGGGAACGGGAACAGAGATTAAAACCTGAACGGGACCAGGCGCTTTCAGGTCCCGGACTCGCACGGTACGGAAACCAGATGCAGAGCCCGGATGAGCGTCAGCGCCTGGCTTTTAAGGTGGGCTGGGAATAGGAATCAGGTGCACAGAATAAAGTCTCAAGTGAAAGGGCTGGAGCACCCTTAAGGAGCGGGGACTACAATCGTGACAATGCCAAAACAAATACTTGCATTAACACTTGCAAATTCAAACCCTGGCTTCAACCAACTTGCAAAAGCTGTTTGAAATATTATAATCATGGGCACAGTTCACCTGTTGTATATTGATAAGCTTCTATAACGTATACCAGGAGATGCTACGAAAAAACAAGCAGATGCATAGTCAAAATATATATTCTTATCTGTGCCTGCTGTACATTTTCAATATCGTTTTATATTTACGGTAGTTTTACAACCCATAAAATTGTACCATAGTTATCCCTGGTTATCATTTTAGTCAAAAACTATGACCTAAGCTTTTTCTGTATTTGATCAACTAACAGTGACTTAAACAGTTTGTCATTACAATTGAAATTGTAACCGTAAGTTGTGTGATTTTGTAATTACAAATGCTTAGATTGTAGTACTAAAATAATCTCATCATAAATTAAATTTAGAATGTCATGCATTGAGGTTTTTGGATTATACAAGCAGTTATGTTGGGTAATTCTAGAAGTTGTTTTGACGATGGCAAGATTGTTCCAGAAGAAAAAATAATAATAATGTGGTTATTGTTAATGAAATTAATAAAGTGGCTATTAATTTAGTTCAAAGTGGTGAGGACTTACATGTAAACCTGATGGAAAATGTAACTGCAAATAATAGTGACTATTCTGTATGATTTCTCCAGACATTTCTAGATTAGCTTCTGGGACTGAATTGCTGCCAGGAATCAAATAAGCAGAATGATCCAAAAGGTTTCCTCCGATTTATAATTTTTCCTCCATTAAATTGGGCCAATGCTGTCCAAGTTTTTTTTCCATTTGTTCTCCGAGTGATTTCTATGACCGTTTTCTTGAAAACAAAAAAGAATGGTAAAATATCCACTGTCCGATGTCATTTATCTTGTGACACTGACATGACTATTTCCTCGTGTTTCTGTCATAACAGCTATATCAATAATTCCATGCACACATTTAATGAAGTTGATTTATTGCCGATAATAAAAACCTGTCCATATTTTTAACTAACTACATAATTTGCAGCTGTTGCACCAGATTTTGCTTTAAAATGCAAATAAATGTACAAGTATATAAAACCTGAATTTAACATGTTCAGATACTCCTTGTTAGTACAGTTCCTCTAACAGTAACAAGCAGAGATGACTGGATGTCATTCATTGTGTACTGGGAGACTGTGGGGAAAATCAGTTTGCTTTTATCCTGGAGTCCTTGCTGTCAGATTTTGTGTCGACTTCAATCAAATCCTCATGCTCAACTGTAAGTCTCTGCCTGGCTTGGCCCCTCAGTACCTGTCTGAGCTACTATCATCCTACTCCTCATCTTGAAACCTTCGCTCTTCTAAATCTGGTCTCTTGTCTGTCCCCCAAGCCCGTCTACACTCTGTGGGTGACAGGGCCTTCTCCTGTGATGCCCCAAAGCTGTGGAACTCTATCCCCAGTTCTAAACGCCTTAAAATCCAGACTCAAAACCTTCTTCTTTAGAAGAGCCATTACTTAACTGGTTCTGTTATTGACCCCTCTGCTCCTACTGTATTCAGTACCCTTATCTACTGTCTTCTCTCATTGTGTATATCTTGTGTATATTTTATAGTTGTTGTCGTTCTGTTAAGGTTTGGTAGACCAGTCCAGAAGGTGGCTCTCAGTCACACATTGTGTGAAAACAAGAACTGGTCACATGTACTGTATAGCTGCCTTGCTCACTAGCCTAAAGAACTATGTGAAACAGTGAATATAATATAATATAATATAATATAATATAATATAATATAATATTGGCATCCAATAATGACATTCTCCCTGTAAGCATGCAAGTGTTTTTCATTCTTAGTTTGCAAATGCTGTTTTCTTGTTGGACTTATTTACTGTAAACTGGAAGTATTTTGTATTTCAACAGCCAGTTATAGTATTACATTTGTGTCATTTGATGATGCATATTTGTTCTCAAAATCATTTATTGTTCGAAAATAATGTTGGATTACACACACTGAAGATGGCTATTCACTGATACTCGTATTTCTCTTGAAACTCCAGCGCACTCCATCACTTGATGGTACGCCACTAGACTAATTTGTGTAAGAAACGTTTACCAAAAAAAGCAACCAAAGATTACTTAAATTTAACTTCCAACAAAGTACACCGAAATACACAGACATGGACACAAAAAACGAAGTTTGTAATATAACTATGAAAACGTCACAATGATGAAATCGGAGAGAGAAACTGTTTCTCCTGTTTCTGGGTTTTGGAATCATCATTCAAGGGAAACATAAAGGCTTAGCACCGTCCTTGAGATTCAGTGACATCATTAGTGCGGAGAGTACCAATTAAAACGCCATTTAGTGGGAAACCACGCGATTGTAAGAGTGTGTGAACTACAAGACATGTGACCTATCTGGAGTTTGGATGTGTCCAAGTTTCATCGTCTTTAAACCTTTGGTTTTAACACAAAATAAAAAGACAAAACTAGTCAATACGAAGGTGGCGTTTACAGTATCTACTAATATTCACTTACTGACGAAGGGCACAACCAGGCTTGCTTCTTTTGGAGTCCTAGGATTTACATCTGGTGAGGTGAATGTAATAAACGGAAATCTTTTTATCTTGAGTAATTCTTGAGTTGCTGTTATTCATCCAAAACATCCGAGTCCCTGACAATGGGTGGTTAATTTGTGATACTATTAATGGGACAGAGGACATGTGCAGACTTAAAAATGCAATTTGACCCAAAAAAGGCCATGCATTTCATTTAAGATCTTTAAAAATGTTTCTTTTTATTTTAGAATGAGTTCAGTTTGGGGAAAAAAAAGATAACACATTGAAATTACCACATTCACATTTAAGCTTAGTAATACAGTAAGGTTAGTAATACAATGGCAAAAGGAGATTGGACTCAACTTACACTACAAAAAAAACATCTCCACCAATCCCACAGACTATAGTCACACCACTCAAACTTGTCTTTTTACAGAGGACCTGGGCTCCAGATTATTGGATGCCTCTCCTAATCGCAGTTCTTTGGATACTTTTTCATAGCTAGTTTGAGGAAGTCTTCAGCGCTGTCAAGGGACACAAGCCGATCCTGGAGCAAAAAAAAGAATACATCTGTGGCAGATTGCATCTTAGGAACCATATAGGTTAGAAATAAACGACTGCTGAAAGAATATACCTCCTTCATTTTCCTTTGTCTCGCAAGCTTTCAGATGAAAAAATGAAGAAAAAAACTTCAAGAAGCTGGGTGTAGCAGTCGAGTGCGATTAATTGAGAATTTGGGTCTGACTCTTCACAAAACAGGTTTGGCAGACTATCTAACCAGAAAGCACAGTTACTGTAACTTGCCAGTCTCCTTATCAGGACAGGAACAGCTCGTAGGCATCTTGATAAACTCCAGTTTAAATGTTAGTTCTGGGATTAGGAACTAATCTCTGATGTATAGTACAAAGTACAATATACAGGACATAAATGTACCTTGTACAAATTTGAAGAGTTTTATTGCTACGACAGATGAACTACAGTGTTGACAAAGCAGAAACAATTAACAGAACATTTACGGAAAAAATATACATTTATAGGCATCACATTAAACATTATTGAGAGACAGGCTCACTCTCTGCTCCTCACGCCATGACAGGAGATTACATACTGGGCTACCAGCCCTACTGCGTACTCCTTCCCCAGTATAATTGGAAGCTCTTTTAATTGTGGCATGTCACCGTTTATTAAAGCAGTTGTGAGCAAGTGACTTCAGACAGCATGTCTTTCTGTTATCATCATGATAAAGGATAATGAGCTGACAAAGGAAAGGAAGAAAACCATCTTACCATCACAATGAGATATCTTTCCTGTGCTTCACAACCTTTAGGAAAGAGACTTGTCTCCTCCAACAGTTTCGACAAGTATTCCCTGGCCTTCGTGAAGTTTCCAGAGTCGCTCAATGTACTTTGTTTATTAACCGAGAGTAAGGTGTCCACTTCTTTCTGAAAGCCTTGAAATGCACAGAAAGAGAAGTCAAGCTTTAAGTCATTCTCAGGAAATTGCCGTGTCATAGATGACAGTATAAAGCTGGCTGCCTTCATACTGACAGTAATAGGGGCCAGTTCACAGTGTGATATTGCATCTTTAGCTCTGGGTAAAAAAATCGAAGGTAACCGTTTTATTCTTCATTTGTTATACCCTGAGGCTTTACAGCCTAAAGGCATACAGAGGAGACAATACAAATACAAGCTCCAGAGGATATTTGTTCAAAAAACATCTGGCGGTAACACCATAATATTCAAAGCCAGTCTGCAAAGGTAGAGGAATGTTCCCTTTTTTGTTAGCAGAGAAGGTATTCACATGTAATAATATGTACAGTATATACAGTAATAATGTACAAGATATTTGTGTTGTCGCCAGCATTTTGCAGTTTAATTTCCCAAGTTGAGTTTTACCTTGTTAAAGGGGATCTAGTTTTAACTAATTTTTAAACTAACTGGGGGAAAAAAGTGAGGGTGTGTTATTTCTGAAATCAGATGAATTAACACACAGACTGAGACCCTTCAATGAAATGTGAGACTTTTCAAAGTCATTTTCTGCTCCTGAACTAATTTAGGCTTTTCATAGTAAAGGGTGTGAATACTTTGACTTTGTATTTGTATTATTGAAGTTTTCATTTAACTTCTACTTGTAAGTGTTAACTTTGAACCCTGACGTTTTGTGATTCAATCTAATTCAAATTCAGCACAATATGACGTTATTGGAAGGGGGTGAATACTTTTCTAAGACTTTATATCCAACAACGCAAAACATTTTGGCACCTAGTTAATGCTTAAAGTACTGCATTCATGCGGCCCTTTTGGAATACAATTCTTTTAATCTTTTCTGCAGAGGTATTTATTGGCCTAGAACAGTTACTAATGTAGATATAAAATGTATTGCCATGGAAACTATTGGACAGTATCATGCAGTCTAACATTAAATAGAGCAAGTTCAAATACAGATAAATATAATTTATAACTTCACATCCCATAAAGCATGTGAAATATAAGGCAACATGCATAGCTATTTTTACCTAGCTTCAGTAATATTTTTTTCCATCTGGCCTTCACTTCTCTCCTTATATACCTAAAGGTGTGAATATCATAGTTCAGCTTTTCCCACACCTGTGAAAAACAGAAACACAAAAGGGCTTAAAAAACTTATAGGAGTTATAACACATGTTGGCATATGAATCCTTTTAGAAACTAAAGTGAGAAGGATTAGTAGAGATACTTCTGAGAAAAAAAGCGTCTATTTAAAAAAGAAGAGTTCTAGAGATAGGGGGAATCACATGTTCATATCCAGGTTGTGCCACACACCCTAGATTAGAAAATGAACCTCTTGTAGCAGCACAAAATGCGAGATTCTAAAATAAAGAATGCTTTGCATAATCTCGGTATAAATTCCTTGTAAAATAGCAAAGGAATCCTTTCTCTTTATATCCCAAGCATTTTACTTTCTTGATGGGGTTCAAAGGCTCACCAGCTTGGTGCTTTCCTACTAAAAACCTTAACCCACTCCTCAAAAAAACACATATGACACGCCTTCAGTCTCCAGGGTCTCCACAACCACATTCAAAACCACCCCACAGCTGTTTCAGACCGTAAAACAATTTAAGGATGAAAGGGAAAGCATGACACCCAACCTCTGGAGACTACATCATATAAAATGACGCCTCAATGCCTAACATATTTCATTGAAGGTACAGTGTTGCAATGATGTACCTGTAGCCATTGTGTGTACACCAGTTGTAGGCCATGGACGCAAGGGCATCTAGCTCCTGACTGGAAGGTCCTGGGTTCAATCCCAGGTAGGGGGAAGTGAAGTAGCTTGCTCTAGTTCCTTCCAGACAGCTCCCAGGTCCACTCAGCCTGCTTTCCAAATGAGTACCGGGGGTTAATCCTTCCAGGGGTAATAGGCTGACCAGAGTGTGATGCTGACCACATCACCTCCACCACCGGTGTCAGATGGTCAAGGAAAATGTTGGCCCTTGCCCCCCATTCCCCATGGGCCTTTATGGCCTGAAAAGGGACCTACCTACCTACCTACCTACACCAGCTCAGCCCAGGGGCTTTAGGGTTTGTGCCCTTGGGGGCAGGAGACTCCCTATTGCTGGGCAAGCGTCCTCTCAGTCATTAGCTCTGCTAATTGAGCTGCAACAAAGGCTTCCCAGAATGCGCCCCCTGGTTTTGACCTTCAAGGTAGAGTGAGTCTGTGTGCCTCAGCGTAAACTCTCCCCCGACAGCGGCTACCGTGGTGCTTCAGTTCCTACGACGCTCATCTGCTTCACACAATTATGGATCTCTTGCTTCCTCAGCTTTGGTGATGGTTAATTCACACCACGAGTTAACATTAGTGAAAAACTGAACCACTAAAAAGAAACTAGTAGAAGAAAAAAATCAATGTAAAACATTAAAAATAACCATTATCCAAGAGGCTTCACTGCTTAACAGATTTGCAATATCAAAGTATAATTTTACAATAGCGCCGTCTTTTGTTTCAGTTTTAGTGGGTGAACGTTTTAGGTTTTGAGCAGATATTAAAATGATATTGAAATGTCTGATAATGTCTTTTTTTATTTAGAGACATGATCTGGGAGTAGGTTTGCTGGTAGGTGGCCCATTAAGTGATAACATTAAAATTCTGCTTTGATTAAGTTAAAACCTGCACTGTTGTGTTATTCATGGATTTTGACCCTAAGAAAAAAAAACCCTACTTTAAAAATATGGAAATACATAGGCCCCATTCAAGAATTTATAATTTGATTAGTAATTCTAATGACTGCATATGCTTATCGAGCTTATAAATATTGCCCGTGGTGGAATGTCTGTCTGGGAAAAAAATCTGGTTAGGTATTTGCCCTAAAAAGACACTTTTGAACAAGTTCTTTTTTGTACTGTTAGCTTGATTGAATTAGTACATTACTGAGCATATGCCTTGCTTGAAAAACAAAAAAGTTTCTATGGTAATACCTTCTCCCAGTAAGGAAACTGCACACACAGAGAAGGCCTGTTGTTTCCAACAGAGGAATGAGAGGAATGGGCTTAATTTCGAAGGCCATTCTGGGAACTATTCTTTCGCAATTTAAGTTCCTTATTGAGGTTCAAGCATTTCAGACAGTGCCTATATAAAAGGAAAATTTCAGAGACATTTTTTTATGAGCAGCTTTTAAAGAAATGGGTGAGCTCTGTTTTCTTTAAGACTATTTACCGGTAATTAGGAACACTAAACAAACGACAATAACTACAAAACCCTACATTAAAAGGAACAGTCTTAACACATACAGTGGACTATTCTATATTCCACTTTATTCTTGTCATGCCCTGCTGCCTAGCGTGGCGTACGCAGTGGTCTGTGAGGGGTAAGATGAACCCATGTGCTGGGCAAGGGGTATAAAACAGGGGCTAAACTGGGATGAGAGAACAGGCAGTAGGGTTCAGACCTGGGGAATGCAGAACAAAAGCACCAATGGAAATCCAAAAGACAAAGGTTAGGTCCAGGATCCAAAGCGAGCACCAGGCAGGAAACTATAGAACGAGAGAACGTATGAATTGAGAGTCTCCAAGTAAAGACTCAGAGAACAGGCTCTTACACAGAGCTTGACTGTATGTACCCCCGGGTATTGTCCGAGCAGACCTTAAATATCCCCTGTGTCACCTGTGGCAAGCGTGGTGTGATGGTTCACGTGTGATACAGGTTTCCTGTGAGAATGCGTTTCCATGGGAACCGGCGCTGAGCGACAGGTAGGGGGAGGCGTGGCCAGCTGCCATGGTAACCGCTAGTGCACTCCGCTGTGTTCCAGAAACAGTCAACAATTCTTTAACACTGTTTTAAAAGTACCTGGGGTGATGATTGTAATTAGCTGCAAATTAGCAGGTACAGGAATTAGCAGGTACAGTGCGGCTCAGGGCTGTATGCCCAAACAAAATGCCCATCAATCAAATCCAGTCGGGGAATGAGCTGTACACACCACATGTATATGAAATCACACCACAATTGATCAAATAGGCAAATTATCCCAATTAAACGCATTTTGTTTTTAATACTTTCAATATGACACATGTGCCATGACCCTAGGATACCAAGAAAACAGGAAGAGACAGCAGCAAATCTCAAAGTATGTTGAGATGGGCCGAAGTTCGGCGTCCGTCGTCTTCGTCGTGAATCGCCAGAATCGTGGCGGGCAGGTTCGTCTCTGTCGATTCTGAGCCGGGGTGCATTCACAGCCACTCCCAGGCTCAGAGCACGCACAATGCCATCACCTAGACAGGAGCAAACCCCACTTTTTCAAAATACCTGGCCTTTCGCAGCAGAAGAGTTCGGTACTGTCTAGATTTCCAAGGAGAGGGCGACAACATTTCTGTAACACAGCCTCCTACACACGGCAGTGATACAGCCTGCCTAGACAGACATTACTGAGAAAGCCCCAAACTTTAGGTTTAGGTTTTGCACTAGTTCCTTGTAAGATGGGTTTGAAGATGATGTCTTGTGGTCAACTTGTGTGGGGTACATTCTGGCTATCCAAATGATAGAAATCAGTGTCCGGGTTCTGTTACTCAAGCACACTTGTTACACTGTGGAAGAAATAGCCACAAGACGCTGGAAACACCATGATGAGGCTCACCTCGGTGTTCTTGTCCACCTCATTCCTCATTATGAGGAGGTTGTACAGCTCTCGGTCGTCATCCGATTCGGTGTGGGAGGAGTCCTGAGGAGAACTCCACAGATTCCAGTCCTCGGCCCTCTGGGTCTTCCGGTCCGAACCATAATCGCTACCACTGGACATGCTGCCTCGACACACGCAAAAAGAGACTGAAATAGTTCACCGACGCTATGGAATTGTCTCAAGCCCGTAGAATTGCCTCGCTATCCTGAAGAGCAGGAGAATGGCATGAATCTAGAGGAAGCTTTTTGGCACGTCTAGCGCAATTTGGTAGTTACGTGAATCCAGAACTAAGCCATTTCTTGAATAATGAGCGCAGAGTTAGTACCACACAGCCACCTGAAAATGAAGCCTGTACCAGATACCAGCATCTCTTGTGTAAAGAATGATTTTCTATTCTCTGCCCTAAACGGATTCCTTTTTGCTTTAAGTTTCCAGTTTTGACCTTTTGACTACAGAGCCTGAAAGAATCCCCTGGACTGACCCTTAGGATTTTTGTCTTCGACAGAGCACTATACTCCGACCTCAGCCCAGTATAGGAACAATATATGTGGATTAAGTCTCCCCTTGGTTTCTTCTATTCTAGACTGAAGCGATTTACGGTCTCCAACCTATGACACCCAGTAGAATTGATTAAGGCAGTTTTATTTTCTTGTTGTCAAGACAGATCATTCCACCAAGCTAGCACATGGTTTTGCAGTTTAATCATTATAGGCGTTGTGGGTGAAACACACCTGTGTGCTAAAATCAGATCATATACTGTGGATAACAATGCCTCATCACAGTCAGAAGTTAAGTGTACATTTGTCTCATTCCATTCTGATTCATTAATATTGTGCCTTAACTGATTTTGAACGTATTTGCATTTCTTAAGGAAAATACTAAAAAAATATTTTAATCTTTCAAAGGTATAAACATTACTAATGCCATACAATGTGACATACTAGGAGAGCTGGGCACACTAAGAACAAGCAGAGTTAAAATGTTTAATGGGTGGAGACTTTTAGAAAACTGCATTTCATTAAGTTTGACACTTAAACTCTTGAAAATCCTTTTGAACTATAAAATGTGCCCTTCATTCCTGTGACAGGAAAAAAAAAACAATCAGGCCCTAGTACCTGATTTAAGATAATTTGATTACAGCCCTGTCCAAGTTTCGTCACAGAACCAGTATTGTTTTTAGTTTCTTTTAGAGAGTCCACTCACCTTTGAACTACAAAGCATCAGTATAAAGTCTAGCTAATTGCATTTTTAAAAGATGCTGGTAGGCCAGGAGTCACAAGTTCTTTCAGGAATCCCAAAAGACGTGTTAAAGTACAGCATCTAGCGATTATCTAGTAATACCCCTACTTTCTCGGCATGCATTCTGTAAGCCTGAAAACTACCTCCACCGTTTTAACAGTACCGAAAAAAAGTTATGTTATACATTACTAATGTATACTTATGCATTACCCTGTTTGCGTGTGTTTTTACAAAAAGGGCGTGTTCTGGAACCACTTTCTAAAATGATGTTAATGTTCTAGTGAATGCTCGGTTTTCAGATTGAAACCTGGCTATGGGACCAATAGGAGCTGTAAACACACTGATGTTAGATCTGCCTCGCGTCGTGAATTCTGTCAGAATTTGACTTCGGCAGCAGACGTATTTTAAAAGCCGAACCCGGTGCTCCATAAAGATTTCAGAGGATTAGCATTGCTTTTCTTTACCCGACCAGAATAAAACGATTATGTCATTAAGCCTGGCACTCCAGTAACACTTGTTTCTGTCTCATGATTCCTGAACTTCACATGTTTCGATAGAGGTGACATGCACACCTATTTGCTAATGATCTATAGTAATAATAAAATAATAGCAAACTCCAGAGGGAAATAACTACTGAGAATACTTTCGACGCTATTACGATTTTATTATTACGGTAAGAGAAACATTAAAAAAATGTTCTATAGTTTTTTTTAATCAATAAAGCCTGAATCTACCTGAATCAATAAAGCCATAGATCTTGTTTTTAAATAGCGGAAACATTTTAAACGCATTTAAGGCTGGGGAAAAGAAAATCTGATTTTTCTAAAAAATATTACTGTATAATTTTAAAACTAAGCAGTGATTGAGTAAACCGCTTTCGAAATGGATGCGCACATACGAAACCCAATTAAACGCTTTTCTGTAGATCTTTCACCATTCGAAGCTAATTGCAGTCCAGGCGTAAACTCCTGAGACACTCACCTGAGAGCTTCATTTCCTGACGTCTTATCAGAAGTATCACACCAACAGCAACAGAACATTTTTGTCAGACCCATCTGGTTCCTAACTTTGTAAAGTTTACTGGTTGGCTAAGAGCTTCAGAGCCCGTTAGAAACACGCCTGATTGAACGAGTGGCTTTTCTCTGTCATCACAATTATGTTGAAATAAAGAAATAAAGCGATCGCCTTTCGGAAGGCCCTTTCTACCACGAATGAACTACAGATGCACTATCCCCGCGCTTATGGAGAAGTTCACATTGTTAAGAAAAAGTATGCTTCCTATTTACCAATTAGAGGCGGCGTCAGTGCTGGGATGCAGCAGGGCTCCTTGGCCTTTGATCCTGATTGACTTCATCAATAGCACCTAGAGGGTCTGAGATTCGGAATCAGAAACGTCATCGGTATTTACACAGTGTGCTTTTTGTGCTGCGATAAGCAACAAACCTTAGACAATCAATACAAACTTAATATAGGTAAAGTTTATTTAGGTTTCATGTATATAATACAGTATATGGCTTTTAACAAACTCGGCAAGCTTGAAAAGTATGTTCAAACTTGTAAAATGTGCTAGAAGATTTAACTGCTGTATATTTCATTTACAAAACGTCCATAAATTTTGAGCCAGTGTCTGTCCTGCTGTGTTGTCCAGGTTTCCTAATTCAGTTAATTTTAGGCCACTTTTATTAAAGAGACTGTTTTCTTTGAATCCTCTCCATGTTAGATCTATTAAAAGCATAGCATTGGTGCCAGTAGTGGGATATTTATCCAAATGGAAGGCACTGAATGGTGAGCTAACACAGCCAGAAAAGAGATGCTTATATGCCTTTGAAAGTGGGCAGGTACTACCGACTGTTATGGAGGGCCTGAGCATCCCATTTATGTCATAAAAATTTGTTTATCAGATAGGCCTGTTCATTACTCAAAGAATCTGTAGTACACTAGATAAGACCTTTTATCTAGTTTTAGAGGAACACCATAGTTTTAGAGGAACACCATAGAGGAAGTGGAGGTAGGAGCTGCAGGAGACACCGGTGAAGAGGGACACATTTGTGTTAAAATTGGGGCTG